CTGCCTTCACCATCAAATGCCCAGAGGCACTCCACTTAACCAGCAAGTCTCCTGCCCAAAGGTGCTCAGCTCTCTTGCTCTGCAGGTGAGTCAGTGTGTCTACTGCAGCCACCTCATTCCATGGGCCAGGAGGCCCACCACACTGGTCTCCTAGTTCTCACTGATTACACTTCTCCTGCTGTCTCATGCCATCTTGCCCTGTCTCACACTACCTTGTGCTATCTCCAGTGTTATAACTCTTTGTGTCTTCTGGGGCTAGAAGGCTCACAGTGCAGGAATCCTAGTTTCAAAGGACAGGCTCCACCCCAAGCTCTTTTTCTTGATGATTGTGAGGTCCTCCTCAACCTTTGTGGAATTAGCTCTTTTAAGCCTAGCAGGATGGCAAAATTGACCAATCCCATAGGTAGGCCACAGTCACCTAGTTTGCATAGTAATCAAGGAGTCCTTGCAAGAATTTTACACATCTTATTTGCAGAGTAAACTGTCCAATCTGTTTGCAAGATTGTGGCACAGAAAATCATCTTGGATGAACTACTAACCCAGGGCTAGCAACATCATACATAAGGAGAAATCCATTGTTCTACAATTCCCTACCAGACTACATGAGGCAATAAGCAAAGTAAAAAATTCCAAGCTCAAGACCTCTGGAAGTCATTAGAAGGGGTCCTTATTGTAGAATTCCCCTAGGGTTAGAGTGGTCAGGCAGACCAGGGTGGTTTGGTCTGTGATCAGGGATCTTCTAGCTATTCCTGGATACCTTTTAGAACACAAAGTATGTGGAAATTCACTAAAATCTTCTCATGACTGTTTTCATAAAGTATATAAAGATATTTATAAACATCAGAATAACATCCATTGCTTATAAAGAACTGGTCCCACCAGATGCCTGGCCCAACAAGAATCCATTCCTCCAGAGTGAGGGATGCTCCTGGGATCTACTCTTCTCAACCCTTTTCCTTTCCGTTTCTTCCTTTGTCTCCACCACTCTTGCTACCAAAGAACCAGATGCCTGATATCCTCACTCCAGAATCCTCAGCTTCCTTATGGGGACTGGAGCATAGCAGGTGTTGTGCAGTGCATGCTGACCTGAGTGGGCCTGGATGCACTTCTCAGGCCTAAGAGCAATTTCAGCCAGCCTTGACTCCAGCATAAAATCTCCAGAGACCTTCAAAGCCCTGGCCCTTCTCCTTCTTCCATGGTCTGCAGACACGCTGAGTCTCCCACACTGAGCTATTTGGAGAACAACTGAAAGATTAACAAAGGCAGGCAGAGATAACCCAAAGTGTTAGACATTTTGCATCTATGTTCATGAAGGATAGCTGTATGTCATCATATCTGGGATTTTTTTTTTCCATTAAGTTTGGTTGTATGGCTAGACTGGCCTCAGTCAATGAACAAATGACAAGTATTCCTTCTTCTGACTTCTGAAAGATTTTCTATACAAGTAGTATTACTTCTTTCTTAAATATTTCTTAGAAGTCAAACCCCACCTGGTTAAATCCAGCTGTCACACACTTCTCACCACTCCCAGGAAGCCGACTGTAGTTGCTGTGTGTGTTACTTCTTTATTTCTTACAAGGAGAGTCAATTGATCTTGTTAACACTGATAAATTAAGAAAGAGAAATAAAAGTTTTCTATTCAAAGCTATAACCATAACTAATAAATAAAATAAAAGTGGAAATGGTAAAAAGTTGTTTACCCTGGAGAATAGCCTTCAGAAAGATTTTCACCTTTAATGTGATATATGTCCAAGTCGTTTGGAAAGAAGTTATAAACATGTATGCATTACTGCTATGATTAAAAAAAAAAAAAAAAAGGAGGGGGCAGTCAGCACAGTCCACGGTGGACCTTGAATAACAAGCAAAGGAAAGTGTGCTTCAGACTTAGTTATAAAAGCCTTCCCACAGGTACAGAGTTGGCAGCTAAAGTCCCCAGAACAATGATCACTAACAGGGAAGGGGACTGAATGGGTGGGGAAGAGAGGTGGAGTTACAGAAGTTGACCAGATGCTGAGAAACATCCATGAGGGTTCATGAACTTATGTGTCTGGGCCCTAATTATCCACTGGGTCCCTGCACAAGAAATCAGAGGGCTGTCCAGCATCTTGATAAACCTTGCATGGTTACTAGATTTTACTCCAGCTCCCATTGTTGTTGTTGTTGTTATATGCCATCGAGTCGGCCCCAACTCATAGCGACCCCTCCTTGGGTTTCCGAGGCAGTATCACTACGGAAGTAGGATTGCTTCCGAGGAGTGGAAGGAAGGTTTGCTTCCGAGGAGTGGAAGGAAGGTTAGGCAATCCTACTTCCGTAGTGATACTGCCTCGGAAACCCAAGGAGGGGTCGCTATGAGTTGGGGCCGACTCGACGGCATATAACAACAACAACAATGGGAGCTGGAGTAAAATCTAGTGACCATGCAAGGTTTATCAAGATGCTGGACAGCCCTCTGATTTCCTGTGCAGGGACCCAGTGGATAATTAGGGCCCAGACACATAGGTACCTCTATCTACATCCAGAAGACAAAGAACTCTCCTCTGGTGAGTATCAGTTGTAGGAGGGCTCTTAGCTTCCACACAGATCAGCTCTCCACTTCCAGCAAGAAGAATGGAGAAAAGGTAAGGTGTTTTTGTTTTTGTTTTTTTTCAAGAACTGTGTTATTTCCAAAGTCACAGGCGCATTTATTTCCTTAGTCAGCATCTGCATGGTTCCATTGTGGGGTGGGACATTCAGAAAGCCATAGGGCTTCATCAGGAAAAGGTGGCAGACGTGAAGCTCCCTCTTGGCAACTTTGGGTGCCAGCACTCTTAACTATGGGAAATAGAGACACCAGAACTGTGTACCTTCTTGAACCCTCTTCCTATATTCTTTTATTCTAAATATGTAAACCTGCTGCCACGGTGAGAAACCTGCTTCTTTCCTTCATTTACGGAGCATGATAGCAAATACATATAGCTTCCCAAAACCAAAGTGCTGTTAAAAACCTAGTTTTCACTTGCTTTTCAAAATTTTCCCCTTTATGTATCTGTGAGAGGCTCAGCTGGAAACAGATGGTCCAAACTGGGATAATAGAAGACAGTTTAATGGACTGTTTACAATGCTGGGTATCAATAAGGGAAAGCTACAAGGGGTGGTGAAACCCCCAAAGGCAAGAAATTGTGGTGAGCTCTTATAATCATTAGGCCTAAGAAGCAAAAAGAAGTTACCAGAACTTAGAGAGGGTTACAGCTGTGGATGGAGCAGAGGCCCACCAGATAGGAGCTGTGTTCTTAGGCAGAATAATACTGCTACTGCCAACTAGAGCTGAAGGGAGGGAAATCCAAGAGAAAAACTGAAAATGCCCATAACTTTCACTTCTGCCCCTTCAAATTTGTGTCAATGTCGCCCTTTGACTCTATTCAGCCAGGAGCCAGAGGGGAAGGGAACCGACCAATGAAACAGAGTTGTCTCCAGCTGGGGCACATGCAGGGTAGAGAGAAGGGAAAGGAGATATTGATGAGGGGGAAAGAAAAAATTATCACCTTCTCATCTCCTCCTCACAGTATGTATTTCCTGGGAGTCCCTCCATCTCAGTGTGATTGGATAAATTTCCCGCTGTACTCAGAGTGGTGGTGTGTTTTGTTTTCTGTTTGACCTTTTTTCTTTACTATCATTTTACTGGGACAATGTCTCACTGGCACTATAAACACCTTGAAAAGTAAATACAGTAAAATGAGGAATACACAGATATTTATAAGTATTTTGATGTTATGACTTTGGCTGCTCTACGAGGAACCCATTATATCAGTGACTTGAGTAAGAAAGAAATTTCTTGGATTTGGACTGGTGGATCCATGGTGCCAGAAACCAAGGCTTTCCCCAAATTGCTGTATTCCCATTTCTAGCATGATGCTCATTTCCTCTAAAATACAGGAAAATTTAGTTTTGCCCTAAATCCTCTCTGCAAACTGTTTTCAAAAACTCATCTAGCTGCTCAGTAAAGCCATATGCTGGCCCTTGCTGGTTTGGAGGCATGAGGGTGGCCATCATTAACTATTTATGCAGGCATAAGTAATTATTTCAAACACAGAGAGAGAGCTTTAAACAGAAGGGATAATGATGAATGATTTTTTAAAAATCTTTTTACATATGTGTTTTCTAGTGAATAATTTTACTTAAAATTTTTGTTTTAAATTAAATGCAATTTTCAACTATTCTTAGGCTCTCCATTCATCCATACATCCATTGGTTGATTAAAACTTTCTTGAACACCCACTGTGTCTCCCAGATGGAGCTAGGCACTACAGACAAAGAAATGGACGAGAAAAGAGCTCTTCCTATCCCCACAAAGCTTACACACTGTGGTATTTCTAGCACAAGAAGCCTGCACATCATCATACCTGTCACAATAAGTGGTTATATTTCTCTCAGGTCTGTAAAACATTTTTTTTTTTTTTCTCCTTGGTGGATGGTTGCTCTCTGTCATGGCTTATGCCTGGAGTTTCTAACTTTCTGCTCTCCTACCTAGAATGGAAGGAATGCCTGAACCCTAACCCTGTAACTGTCCCACGGTGCCATGCATCCCTCAACGTCCATAATATGTTCTGTGAAATAGGATGTTATGTGATTTGGACATTCTGCAAAGACCACGTTGTATACAGGAAGTCCCCAGATTATAAACAAATTCCATTCCTGTCCTAGACTTAAAGACTAAGGACATGGTATGGCCTCGGGAAGGAGTGGGGTGTGTTTGGATTATAGAATAGTCCCATGCCAGACGGGCAAGTGCTACTTCAGGGAGAAAACAGCTTTAGAATCAATGAGAATGGTGGTTGAATCCAGGCTCCAGATCTCCCCAGCCTTCGATAAATTACTTAATTTCTGCAAGCCTCCATTTCCCTCTTCTATAAAATGGGGACAGTAGTTTCCACTTAGCAGGGAGGTCCTGAGAATCAACAATCAGACAGGAGGTGCCCAACTTTTCTTTGTGTTCCAGAGGCACCACTGCAGAGTTCCTGAGCATGGATCAAGCCTTCTCAGACAGATGGAACCAATTCTCACCACTGAATGGCAGTGAAGAGGCCTTTCCTGCCAATTATGACAGGAACAACTTGTTCCCAGGCTTGCTGACCCTCATTGTTGCCCTGTGTGGGCTGGCAGGAAACGTGGTTGTGCTCTGGCTTCTGGGCTTCTGCCTTCAGAGAAACCTCTCCTCCACCTACGTCCTCAACCTGGCTGGGGCCGACTTCCTCTTCCTCTCCCACCTGATTATACCTACCCTGATGGAACTCATTGACTACTTCCACACCACCTTCATCCCCATCCCTGATTTCTTTGAAACTGCTATGCTGTTCGCCTACATCACAGGCCTGAGCATTCTCAGCACCATGAATACTGAATGCTGCCTGTCTGTCCTGTGCCCCATCTGGTACCGCTGCTGCCGCCCTAGGTACATGTCAACTGTCATATGTGCCCTGCTCTGGACCTTGTCCCTGCTGCTAACCATCCTAGAAATGATATATTGTGTATTGTTGCCTATGAACTCTGAGGGTAGCTGGTGTTAAATATTTGATTTCTTCTTTGTTGCATGGTTGATTTTCTTGTTCGTGGCTCTCTCTGTGTCTAGCCTGGCTCTGTTGGTAAAGATGTGCTTTGGCTCCCAGAGGAAGAAGCTGACCAGGCCTTATATGTCCATCATGCTCACGGCATTGGTCTTCCTCCTTTGTGGACTGCCCTTTGGCATTCATTGGTTCCTATTATTCGGGATTCAGAGTGATTTTGATATGCTACCTTCTTCTTGGTTTCTGCTTTTCTCCTGTGTTAACAGTAGTCCCAAACCCATCATTTACTTCTTTGTTGGTTTCCTTAGGCACAGGCAGCAGCAGCTACGGTTGCAGTTGACCCTCAGGAGAGTTGTCCAGATGGCACTTCAGGACATTCCTGAGGTGGATGAACCTAGAGGAAGCCTTACGCAGAGCAGTGCGGTATAGCGCTTAAAGGCTCTGCTTCCAGTCAGACGTGGCTTTGGAGCCATCTTTGTCCCTATCAACTTGGGTGATTTTCTTAATTTTTGTTAACCTCGTGCCTCTGATCATAAAATGGGTAAGATAATAATCCTCCTTGTGATGCTTAAAGAAGAAAATACCTGCTAAATCCACCCTGAGTTCAGTGTCTCAAGGACTACCAACCTACTCAGGAGCCTTCACCACACCCTCATGTGAGAAGTTGCCTGCTCTGGGATCTAGGACTGCTCTACCTTTTTGTTGTTGTTTTGTAGTTAATATTATACATTTATTTCTATCTTTCTTTTTATAATACAGTCATATGTCACTTAACATCCATGATACATTCTGTGAAATAGGACATTATGTGATTTGAACATTGTGCAAAGACCACATTATACATAGGCAGTCCCCAGATTACAAACAAGTTCCATTCCTAAGTTTGTCTTTAAATTGTATTTGCATGTAAGTAAGTTAGGTACAATGCATATCTAACATCAGTGAGTCACATGTTAGTCTTAGTATATAGTGTGCATTTCTATGCTTAAAAACTATTCATGAAACAATTCCAGATACACTAAAAACATCTTTAACATAATAATACAGTAATAATAATAACAATAATGGTTTCATGGGCATTGCAAAGTAGTACCTGTTTCTTATTAAAAATCATTATATGTACTTTTAATTTTTAATATAATAGGCTCTATGGGAGATGGGAGCACAGACATATATGTAGTTGGACATTGCCCAAACACACATTATGTTGTACATAATAGTAATTTTATTGTGGTGAAAGATATATAACAAAATATTTGCCATTTTAATGATTTTTCACTGTATAATTCAGTGACAGTACATTCACCAAGTTGTGCAATGATCACTAGCATCCATTTCAAAATTATTTCCATCACCCTAAAGAGAAACAGTATCCCTTAAGCAATAACTCCCCATTTCTCTGCCTTAGCCCCTGTTGTTGCTAGGTATGATCGAATCAGTTCTGACTCAAAGTGACCCTATGTACAGCAGAACGGAACACTGCCCAGTCCTGCACCATCATCACAATCATTGCCATGCTTGAGCCCATCAGTGCAGCCATTGTAACAATCCACCTCATTGAGAGTCTTCCCCTTTGTTGTTGACTCTCTACTTGAGAAAGCATGGTATCCTTCTGACAACATGACCAAGGTATGAGAAAAGTCTGGCCATTCTCACTTCTGAGGAGCATTCAGTTGTACTTCCTCCAAGACAGAATTGTTCACAATTTAAAAAATCCATTGCTTACAGATGAGGCATCAGCATTCTTGCACAACTTTGTGTGGCTGTCTTGTGTACGCTGGAGATAATGGTGGGGGTGTGATGTAATGAAATTGGGTTATTTAATCTCATTAAGAATAATGGGATTCTGAGTGGCAGAAAACAGGTGGAGGCACTTAACCATCAAGGGCAAGTGGGCAATTATAAAAAGTCAATGGCATGGACTTCTGGTAAGATGGCAGAATAGGCAGACAAGCTACACAGACCCTCCTCAACAAAGAAAGGGGAAACCAATTGATAGAGATACAGAAGTTAATCCTGGAGCCCTGAGCTTTGAAAGGAAGTATACAGAAGTGAATTAGGCACCAGCTAGTGGAAAAACCTGAATGAAAACAGGACCTAAGAATAGGCTCCGTTTGTCAAGGACAGCAGGGGCATATGGGAGGCTGACAATGGGAAAGGAGACAGGTGGTGAGTGTATAAGTGCTGCCAACTAGCAAATAGAGGAGAACAGCATAGTACCCTGCTTACACAGATAACATACAAAGAAAATGAAATTTGTGGGCAAGACACTCCAACATACAATCATCAATTAAATATAAACACAAAAACGTTACAAAGTCTCAGAGACAACAGAGCATCACAGTCCACACAAGCAAGCAAGATAAAGCAGGAGGAACAAGGGACCAGGATACAGACCCAAAATACATCCCTCAGGAAGATGCAGCATTAGAACTCCCTGATAAGGAATTCAAAAGAATTCTACTTAGGTACCTTCAATAAATTGAGAGACAGATCAAAGAAAACACTGACAAAATTGAGGAAAGCATAGAGAAAACCTCGAACTACTTCAAAAGACAATAGAAGAACAAAATGACAAAATAAATGAAAAATTAGAAATGATACAAAATCTACACATAGAAATCCAGAAGATTAATACTAAATTTTGAGAAATAGATAACACATTGAACAGGCAAAGGAGTAGAACTGAATCAATGCAAGACAGGGCTAGTGAGATTGAAAGCAAAAGCCTCAATACTTCCTTGGAAAGGAATCAATCAGAAAAATATCAAAACAAAATGAAGAAAGCCTAAGGTTCATGTGGGATACCATCAAAAGGAATAACCTACATATAATCAGAATTCCAGAACAAGGAGAGACAGATAAAACCACAGAGAAAATTGTTGAAGACTTGTTGGAAGAGAATTTCCCTGGTATGATGAAAGATGAGACTACATCCTTTCAAGAAGTCCAATGAACCCCAAACAGGATAGACCCCAAAAGAAAATCAGCAAGACATATCATCATCAAACTCACCAAAACCAAAGACAAAGAAAGATTTCTGATAGCAACACAGGAAAAACAAAAAGTTACCTACAAGGGGCAACCAATAAGACTAAGCTCAGATTTCTCGGCAGAAACCATGCAGGTGAGAAGACAATGGGATGGTATATATAAAATCCTGAAAGAGAAAAATTTCCAACCAAGAATTACATACGCAGCAAAATTGTCCCTCAAATATGATGGTGAAATTAGGACATTTCCAGATAAGCAGAAATTAAGGGAATTTGTTAAAACCAGACCACCCTTACAAGAGATGCTAAAGGGAGTCCTTTGGACAGAGAACCAACAACAACTGACCATGAACACACATGATGACATAACCCAGAAACCAATTCAGTTATAGAAGTATCCAGAGTAAATAAGCCTACAAGATTGTAAACAGGGAACCAGAGACATCAATTGACAAATGAGGACAACTACAAACCAAAAAGAGGGAAAAAACTGTGTAGTTACAGAACTTTTAGATGGTAGGGAAGTCAAGACAACTACAAGATAGAATGGACTGTTCTAAATTTGGGAAGAAAACTATAAATCACAAGGTAAGCTCAAAGAAAAATGATAAACCTTCACATCAAAATGAAAAAGAGGATCAGCACAAATATTTAGCAAATACTAAAACAATAGCAATGAAGGAAGTGATAACACGATTCATAAACAAAGTGAGCTCAGCACAGAAAATTATATGAAACAAATCAACACCACGAAAAACCACATAACACAATGACAGCAACAAATTCAAACTTGTCAATAATTACATATCTGACAAGGGATTTATCTCTAAAACTTATAGAAAACTCTAACATCCCAACAACAAAAAGATTAACAATCCAATTAAAAAATGGGCAGAAGGCATGAATAGACACTTCACCAAAGAGGACATTCAGGCAGCCAGCAAATATACAAAGGCATGCTCACGATCATTAGTCATCAGAGAGACGCAAATCAAAACAACAATGAGATACCATCTTGCTCCAGCATTAATGGCAAAGTTCAACAAGACAGAAAATGGTGGATGCTGGCAAGGATGTGGAAAGATTGGAACTCTCATCCACTGCTGGTGATACAACCCCAGTGGAAAGCAGTACGGCGATTCCTTAAAGAGTTGGAATTAGAAATACGATTTGAACCAGCAATCTCATAACTAGACATATATTCCAAAGAAGTGACAGCCAGGATAGGAACAGATATATGCACACCCATGTTCATCACAGCACTATTTACAATAGCAAAAAGATAGAAGCAATCTATGTGCGCATCAACAGAAGAATGAATAACCAAACTATGGTACATACACACAATGGAATACTATGGAACACTAAAGAATAATGTAGAATCTGCAAAACACTGCATAACATGGATGAACTTGGAGGACATTATGCTGAGTGAAATAAGTCAGTCACAGAAGGACAAATACAGTATTAGTTCATTATTGTAAAAAGTCAAGGAAATGTTTATATTTGGAAGCAAATTTTCTTTGTTGCTTACCAGGGGTGGGAGGGGATGGGAGGGAACACTGCAAAACAAAACAAAAAAAGCATTGAACCATCCATTGACTGACTTTAGTTTTGTGTATTTCACTGTACATAAGTTATATTTCAATAAATACATTTAAAAAAAGATTTGTTAATTCCTCTATCATCCATGGTATATTCCATATTCTTTGCCAACATCACAATTCAAGTACATTAATTCTTTTGTGGTCTTCCTTATTCATTGTCCAGTTCTCACATGCATATGAAGCTATTGAAAATACCATGGTTGTGCTAGCTTTGGCAGCACATATACTAAAATTGAAATAGTACAGAGAAGATTAGCATGGCCCCATGCACAAAGATGACATGCAAATTCGTGAAGCGTTCTGTACTTTTATTACTTGAAAAAGTAAAACATTTTAATTTTTGAGTTTAAACAAAAGAAAAAGAAAGACAATACCATGGTTTGGGTCAAGCACACTTTAGTCTTCAAAGTGACGTTTTTGCCCTTTAATATTTCAAAGCAGTCTTTTGCAGCATATTTTCCCAATGCAGATATATTGTTTGATTTCTTGACTGCTGCTTCCATGGGGATTGATTGTGGACCCAAGTAAAATGAAATCCTTGACTACTTTCAATCTTTTCTCCATTTATCATGATGTTGCTTACTGGCCCAATTGTGAGGAGTTTTCTTTTATTTACATTGAGGTGTAATCTAGATTGAAGGCTACAGTCTTTGATCTTCATCAGTAAGTGCTTCAAGTCATCTTTTACTTTCAGCAAAGTTGTGTCATCTGCATATCACAGGCTGTCAATGATTCTTTCTCCAATTCTGATACTATGTTCTTCTTCATATAGCCTAGCTTCTCAGATTACTTGCTCAGCATACAGAATGAATACATATAGTGAAAGGAT